CATACCCCCAACACTACACTCATCATCCTCAGCCCCAAGTAATCTATACACTTAGGGTCGCATGCACTAACATCCCTGCGGCGAGGGGAGCGGCGTCCCCTATGATGAAAAAGCCGCAGCGGCGTCCGCACGCGGTCCCTTCATAACGGGGGACGCCGCTCCCCTCGCCGCAAAAATCTTATTGCATACGGGCCTTACAGTAGCTCTAAGGCTCACCCTCATTCTCAAATACTCCACTCCCACACCTACTCTCAAGCCTGTAGTAATCCTCCTCGGAAGCGTCACAACAAGAACACGCTAAGGTCGCGACAGCTTAGAGTAAATCACGAACCTTGCGGAAGCCTCGCAAACCTCCGCAAAATTTGCGTACCTACTGGTGCACCGAACCTTTGATCTGATGATTTTCACCAGAAAGCACAACCACTGCGCTATACGAACCCAGTTGTAGACAATTGCGATGTATGTGTCTTGCAAATGAAATAAAAGCAAGTCCGTGCAATGACTAACAAGTATTTTAGCTAAAAAAACCTGGCTGTTTTGCATTAAATGCAGATTCGGTATCATACAACTAATTTTCAGATTTTCAAGCAATAGTACCGCCTTAGATAGCCGAATTCGAGCAATCAAAAATGGCCAAACTTTGACTTTCACGCGCAAATGTTTCGAATTTTCTTTTACTTCCCCCTCAAAAAACGACATCCAGCGTGTGAAAGCGCCACATCTGCTGACCCCCGAGGACTTATCCGTAAACGGACTCATCTGATGAGAGGACTTATCTGTGAGGTTTCAGGGTATTTAGCTTTGCATTATCAGATTTGCAAACCTGTTATAATCTCGAGTAATCTTCGAACAACGACAGCTCGAGTGGCTTTTGATTTTCATCTCTTTTGTAGTAAAGAAATATCTGCTGCGCTTTTTGTCAGAAGACCTTTTGACGTCTGTTTCTTTCCTAATGTCAGAAAAGTTCGACGCTTGCTGGTTCGATCGCTCAACTTTTGAATCGAATCGGTGTCCACTGAGTGCGTTTCGTCTTTACGTTTTCAGCACTGAGCACATCATTTATCACTTTTTATTCATGTTATCTAAAAATGCTCTATAAGAGAATATAGAAAGTAATTTACGCTGCGCATTTGACTTTGTGCAAAGCGCTTAGAGGCGCAGATAAAATTTGCACACACATGATACAAGTCAACGTTAAAAGGTGAAGGGGTACCGCGGGATGGGGAGAGGAATATGTCAAAATGACACCTCAAAGGGTTTTACGTTTACACAAAAAAAACGCAGGTAGGAAGGAAAGTCCATATAGCTAAAAATATATAAAAAGCAAACTTATTATTCTTGCTATAAAATCGATATATGAGTGAAATAGTGGGCAAAATATACATCTAAGACAGAGGTCGAATATGGGTCACAGGTATATTGATTAAACAATTTAATGCTGAGAAACCGTCAGGTTCAATAACAATAGTAGACACAAATAGAAAGTTCGTTTGAGAAAAGTTCTTCTGACTTCATAGGAAAAAGGTAAAATAGGTGCGTATACTCTCCTACTTCCCCAGGAAGTGGCGGCTTTCCTCAAGTGTCTAGAAATTAGGCAATTCTAAGGGCGTTGCCGACATACGCAGAGCCGCTCTGCCCTCTGACAGTGATATGGACTAACTCAACCCTTTCACTACGAAATAATCTAAGGTGAAGACAAAACCTACTTTTAGAGTAATCATTAGAAACGCGCATCGACTAAAACTGCCCATTCAGCGACATTACTGCACGAGTAGATATACGTACAAAGCGTCCACCCTAAAGTTCAATGCACAAGTATCAAGAAAGTTTTGTAATCACCAAAAGTGTCTAGATTCAGAAAGTGAATCTTCCACTATCTCGAAAGCGAAAAAACACGTGCTAGCTCTACGCAATTCATCGCACTCAGAGACTGGACGCCGTCGCGTCCAAACACGATAGTTCGCGAAAAAGAGACGTAAATGGTTAAAGCAATAATAGTCCGTCTGATCTGAGAGACGTAAATAGAGTCCGCAGTAGCGGCCTACCTCTGCATGCGACGAATTGAACACTCTTGCACTTGCAAACAGACACAAACAACCACCACAGTAAGTCGGGCAAACCGCTCGTTGTTGTCGAGGGGGCCTTTTTTTGCATTCCTTCCTTGATCTCTCACTCGATGATTCATTCTCGACTGTGTTTCGAATTTGCAGTCATCACTTCCATCGCGCATAGGGCCTCGGGCAGAGTTCAAGCTATTTTATTGCATGTGGATCTTCTTGCATTTCGGTTGTGCTAGTTTTTAACACGACTAATCGTGACTAACTATCACCGAAAAAGAAGATCGGCATGCGAACTCAATCTCGCCGCGATGAGTCGCGACAATGAAATCGCGTGAACTCTGCCCAAAGTCTGAGGTGTTGATTCGGAACGTCAGCACGTCTCTTAGGCTGCTCTTCAAAGACAGATGACGTTCACGGCGTCATTGCAAAACAACAAAACAATACTGCCCGCAAGCTGCATGCTTTATGCACCATCACAAATAACTATCATGTAAAAGGCCCGTATTTTGATAATGAAAAGATCATAAAACATTGAGGATTAGTTGCGTGATGTCGCGACGGCGTAAACAGTTCGTGAGCTATTGGTGGCGAGTCGTGTGAGTTCCAGCATGTCATTTGACAACCTCGTGCCGGGCCCTGTCCTAGGAACCTTCAACTCAATCGTTACATAGTAGGCACATAGTAGTCTCAAATATGTTCTGGGTTTCATCCGTAGAAAGGAAAAAAAATACTTCAAAAATGGCAAATCCATCTCCCCTCTCTCCCCCCCCCAGCTGCTCCCACATATGTCATTGTATACTACAAGCCTTAATTAGTATGATCGTAAAACTTTATTCCTGTGTGTGCTTTTATAATTGAGAAATACCAAGTTTTACTTGAAAAAATCGAAAAAATGCATTTTGCCTTTTCACACCATCTTTGTTTCTCAACTTTGAGCCCTGAAAAAATCCACCAAATACATTTTTGGATAACTATGTATCTATTTCATAAAGACCAAGTTCGAAGCCCATAGAAATTTTGGAAGGAGATCCGATTTTTAGGGTAGCTGAGGAAATTTGATTTTTGGCCCCAAATTTTACCTGGATTACGACTTAAGTATATCTTTGGTGGTGTTTTTGTAGAGCTTGCTTCCCTCTATCGAAAGGTTTCCTGAATCTGCTAGGAAAAAGAAAACAGCTCAATTTACTTGAAATGGTACTTTTGGGACAACCTAATAGAATCACCGTGAAAAAAGCAGCTGCCAAAAGTTTCTTAAAAGTGTGAATTTGCGTAGCAGGGTTTTCACGCTTGCTAATTTTACTACACATTTTTGCGAGCTTTTTGAGCGTTCTCAAAAAAAATGATCACATTCTGTGTTGGAAAGACAATTGCTACGGGAGAATGCTATGCATTAATCAAGCATTACAGTGAAGTGCCCATATCTAAAATCTGCGAACCTTGATTAATTTAGTTTAAAATTCTTTTGTTTTGTTTCTATTCCGAGACAAAATATGGTTGTCTATGTCCCAGAATACTTCTTGAAATTCCAACCGTTATTCTGCACTAGCGATCGGAAATTCGCTCGTACAATAGTCTAACAAAAAAACGGCCCCAACTTGAGGCGGCCATTTCGGCTGAACCGCATATCGTTAGTTGCGTCTTGGTGAGCTTATTTCAAGTCTGCCTTCCCTATCTGCGATGCGTTCTCTAGAAAAAGTTATAAGCGTTCAAAGATTTAAATTTGGCAAACATTCAGGGCATCCTTAGGAACTAGTTGTTCAAAAACACTTATCTGCATCTCTGGTAGATGTGAGCATCTCTTAAAATCAGTACACTAACTATCTTGCTAGTCCTGCACTCCCAAGTTGGATCTTATATGCATCTTACATCATGCATCAGAGCTCCAGTGATTTCATAGATTCGAATGCGGTCAAATGCGGGGAATCACTAAATTTCCAATGCATAATGAGCTTTAAAATCCAATTTGGAAATGCACGACTAGCAAGATATTGAGTGTACCGATTTCAAGGGATGCTCACAATCACCCGAAGAAACAATAGGTGTTTTTGAACAACTAGTTCTTTAGGATGTGGCGCTAAATGTTTGCCAAAATTGAGTTTTTTTTTAACGTTTTTTCCATAGTCCCTCATCGCAGATTAGAACGGTTGGTTTGGATAAAGGCAAAACTTTTGTGTACTGCTTCCAAGCAACTCTGTTGATAGAGGAATCTCGATTGAAAAGATGATGGCAATAATAGAAACTCCCCAACTTTCAGTTTCTATCTAATCATTCCTTTTCATTTCGTTCAATTCCTCCTTTTGTGCATAAGCATGTCCAAGCAAAATTGATCAGAAGTTGCTAAGGTCTGCTGTGGCTCAAAAACAAACTAGTTAATGGTCTATAGCTTTGCAAAGCCAAGGGAAGATATTAGCAACCGAGAACTTTTGGGTAAAATATGATCAAACGCAAGCCTTTTGCTTCTTTTCTGAAAAGGCAATAACCGATATATTTCTTGTTTTAGAGAAAGAAGCTGATGAGTTCACAGTTAAACATCGTCAACTGCTTGACAGAGTTGCATATTGTGCACAACCTCATGAGGGGCTTTATTTTGGGCAAAACCCGACACTGTCTCTTACAAATGCATAAGAATTACATAGCAGAGAAATCAAGATTATTGTGATCTCGTAATTTCTCCTGCACTCACAAGATTATTTGCTTGCGTAGAAGACCATATGTCGCCAAAAGTGGGAGGGTGCCGCGCGAACGATGCAACAGATACTAAGCCTGTGCATGTATAAAAAAGGTGTGTTTATCGCAGATGTCCGGCGGAATCTCCCATTTCCGTCGACATATACCTACCCTCATCTGTTTTCCTGTCAAATTATGTCAAAGAAGTTGCGTTTGTTCGTCGTTTCATCAAGCGCTCGATGTACCGCTTACTTTCTCACAATATTTTTTTCCAGAGACTTTACGTCAGTTCGACAAGAATGAGGTTTTTCAAACTTACCATCTTGTTACTTACCGTCTTAGTGGTAGGTTGACCAAACAAGACATGACTTAGTCTGCGATATTACTCCTTAGACTTACTGACTGTACATTACTTTGATGCTTACAGATTCTCTCTGCTGTGGATGTTGGTGAATGCGGATTTCTCGATTTTATAAAGAAAATTGGAAGAGGACTCAAAAAAGTTGCGAAAGGGATTGGAAAAGCAGTTCTAGGAGTTGGAAAAGTAGTCGTAAAAGTCGCTCCAGTTGTCGCCATGGTTGCATGAGGACATTGATATTTCGTGCTTGGCTGTCGATAAATCTTGGCATTGTGATTTAAGCTGTAATACAGTCTTTAAGCTTCGAACAAAGTTGGTAGCAAGACTCTATTACGTATAACCAAAGTTTCGGCAATCCGTTCGCAAAGATCGAGACTTTGAGAACTGCTTGCTCAAATGCCCTCTTTGGCATTAGATTCAGTTTAGTTATGTGACGGAATGGCAGAATAGATGTCGAAAACATGACTCCAGCCTCTGATTGGGATATAGAGACCGAACAACCAGACTGCGCTGCAGCTGCGCTGTGAGTGAGTTGATAGTCAGCATTAAGAATGTCGAATTATTCGATGTCACTTCATGGGGGTGATTAGCATGCTCGATTACCCCCCTTGTGCCAACTCCCAGCCCCGTAGCTCAAATTTTGCAAAAAATCGATAAAATCGATATCGATCGATGACGAAAAATAGTCTATGACACCCGCCGGGGCCCGAAGTGTATGTGTGCCAAGTTTGGTCCCGATCGGTTTAGAAATGGAATTTTCTATTCGGAACATACGTACAGACAGACATACAGACAGACAGACAAACAGACATTCAGCTTTATATATAAGATTGTTGCTTGTATGCGCAACACAAAACGAGCTAGACACTTGGGTTTGCTAAACCAATCCCCTAATATAAACTTTACACGAGAGAGCCCAGCGAAAACTGGCTGCTATTTCTCAACGGCCAAATGCAGTTGCGTGTTTTCAAGAAAGACCAAGTGGTTTCGAAAACCAAGTAGCAAAATTATATTGGTACACTATCTCTCGCCCACCCTTGGAGCACAAAAAGGTCGGTAATCTATAGTTTGTTTAACACTGCCAAGACAGTTTCTTCCGAAGAGCGCTCTACATCGCTGAGTCTTGCCAGACAGATTGCAGTCCAATGCTTAAAAACAAACCATTTATCGAAACGTACCTGGCAAGAATACAGACCGCGCACGAGCAAGAATAAAGCAAAAATACCTTTTTGTGTTCCTTTTTTATCTGAAGAATTCAGCAAAGCGATAAGAAAAAGCTTAGAACATGCAGGCCTCAAAGACTCCGCCAGAGTAAATATTCCGCCTCTTAGGCTGCGTTCATACTGATTTCGTAATCCGGGAACAGTCCCAGCACAACGCTCACTTTGAGCGCTGTGCTGGAACTGTTCCCGAACTTCGGGATCAGTATGAACGCAGCCTTAGTCTTAGAAAACAATTAAATCGTAATCGATCTCACGATCGACTATGCAAGAGTACTGATTGCGTCGTATGCCCATTTGGTCAACCAGGCAATTGCGTGGAGGCAGGAGTAATTTATAAAATAACTTGTCAAACTTCCGGAAAGAAATACATAGGAGAAACTGGCAGGCCTTTTTGTTGAGAATCCAAGAGCACCTAGATGGTCTTATAAAATCTAAATCTCCCACACCCCACTAGGCGCACATCGCAGAGAGGATCACTCGGATCAACAATTTAATATCTTCTCGCGTGAACCCGATATAATTCCTCGTTAAATGCTAGAAGCATTTTGGATAACATCCAAAGCTCCTGCAATGAACCGCAAGGAAGCGGGCTTTGCCATAAATTGATTTCTAATCGCAATCAATCCCTTTGCAAATTTGATCTACACTGAGATTAGATTCATCTATATAAGGCAATTGTACTGTTTTCTACTACTACTGATTGTGTAGACGCTGTGTTGGTGGTGGCACAACCCCAATTCGAAGACTGCCAAGGTGAGCATAGGCGACGGTTTCCGTCAGGCTATCGGCCTGACCTGATGCTGAATGTAGCCTTGGCTTGAACGAGGGTTCGGGAGAACAAACCACTGATGTCTACGACCTTCCAAGCTCCGACGAAAATAAAGCACCCGAACCTTAACTGAATAAATCGCCGAACTGTATAAATCGTGTTGCTATTTTGGTGATTGGTTATAGTAAACATATACGAATATCCATATTATGCCAAGATTTATCAATAATCGAGCTTGGAGGACCTCTACATAATTGTAGAAAATTTCGTATTAGTGTTTGATAGGAGAGAGGTTTGCTGTTTAGAAAATGCCTTCATGTTTGCAGTTCGTTGCTGGTGGTTTAGACGCTATCCAAAAGGCCTCCAATGTTTTTCGGGCTACTAACTCGAATTCGTGCGACAAGATCATAACAGTGATTTGAAAATACTGGTTTTCGTGACATAACCTTCGACATGCACCCAGGTGTGGACATTTTGAATTTTCTAAGGCCGTCACGATGCCCTGTGATTCTTGTGCACAAGAGTCCGCCGGTCTCTCCTGTGTATAGGTCATCGCTTTTTACAGTTTATGGGATATAACACTCCTAATTCCATGCAATCGCATGGTTAACCAAAGCTCAGGTGATACAGTCGGCGTTCGTGCACATTCTGTCATACGCTCGATTGCGGCTTGGTTTTTGAAACTAAGAGTAGGAATATTTATAACGCTGACGGAATCATTTCCTGATAGCTCTGTTAAAATCGTTAGATACGAAGGACACGAATTGTACTTTATTACCTGGTTCATTTTGATAGGTATGCTTTCTTGCCTACAGGTATGCTTGGTGCACCTTTTGCGGGATAGTTGCTAGAAGTTGCAGTCTCTCTGGCAAAGTTCATTGATGGATTGCACTGTTCAACGTTGGTTGAACCGATCTTGCTGTCTTGAACATGTTGCCTATCACAAACCGTTTCATGCTCCCAGGCTACGCAAAGCTATAGTGAATAAATATATTCTTACTAACTCGTGTGCGGGACCATTTAGTTACATATGATCCGTAAGATAAAAACCGTTTGGGAATGCTAGCCAATTTTCGTCGGGTTTATCCCGCATGACTCTTATGTTAGGGGATTGGTTACTCAGAATATCAAAGCATATGTCTATTTCACTTTGAGTTGGACATGTGATGCAGCAGTCGTCAATGTATCCATAAAAAAGCAAGGGCTTACGAGCAAGTACGGGTTTTTCGATTTTTGTCATGAAGGCTATTCCGACGATGGAAGCCAATTTTTGCTCCATCGCTAGCCCACGTACCTGCTTGTAATACCTTTTTGAAGCGGAATATGCTGCAATTTTCAGACTTTTTTGAAAGTGCCATGATTTGCCCAACACTGAACCCATACATATTTTGAGAAGATTGGTGTTCCGAGAATAGCTCATACACGGCTTCTTTAGCATCATCCTCGGAGACATATGTGTACAACAAATGACATCTAAGGTCTTAATCGCACATTCTCCAATGACAAAAACATTCTAATTTTTGAAAGATGTGCAGGGACATACTTTAGTAAGTGTGTCACGATCAAGTCCAACAGCCATGAGCTATCATCCGGGCCACAGTAGCTGCTTTTAATGGGTCTTATTTTGTTAGTCTATGGACTTTCAGAGAAAAATTCTGGCAAGGAGTTTGTGTGCCTTTATTAGCATGTAAAGAACTAAACATATGGGTAATTCGATTTTGATGCGATATCAAAGTTTTAGGTATGCCGATGGAGTTCTATAGTTTACCCGCGCTCTGTTCAGACGACGGCTTTGTTTTACAAAGCCTACAAAGCCTTGCTTGAAAGAAGCGCAATACAAAGTGCTATCGTCAAAGTGGTGTTCAGTTGTGGCCATATCTAAGCTACGCCTTATCACGACGGAATTCCCCTTCCTTATTTCGGTTGAAATCTTACTTCCTTTCTAGTGCATGAATTATGAAGTTTACGGAAACCGCGACGTTGAATGAGAGTGAGATTACTAATGATATGCTTTTTTACACTGTTTTGGAGTACTGAAGATTGATTGATCGAAATGAACCAGACAGCAAAAATATCGTTTTGTGTTCCATTCTTATTTTGATGCAGAGCTATTTAGCAGAGCTATCAGAGATCTGAATTTAAGTGGGCGGCCTCGATGATTCCTTCAGAGTTATAAATATACTAGTGAACCAGGGCCCTCGTGTGCTGCATGCCAAGTGGACGAGGCGTTTCCGTGCATCCCTACGCCTGGCCCCATGTATGTATGCATGTATCCATGCACGAAATACATAAAGGGCAAGCCCCGCCCCCATTTGGCAGGCTCCGCCCACTCGGCCAAAAATGTCGGATATTGCCCAAATTCTAAGAATTCATGCAAATTCAGCCACTTTTGAAAAGAGGGCGGGGCTTCCACGGGGGCGGGGTTTGAAAGACGGTGTGCGGGGCCTGGCTAAAAGTTGTTTGAAGTTTTTGCGTTCATCTACGGCCTCATCCATGCTTTTTTTATAAGCAAAAAGGGTTCTTGTGAGAGGCATGAAAGTGGGCGGAGTTTGCCAAAAGGGGCGGGGGTAATACATGAAAAAACATCTGAGCCTATGTTGATTTTATGAACAAAAACTAAGAGAATTGGACAGATAATATTGAGCGGCACTATCGCCAACGTGTTAACTTTATTTTGAACGTGCGTTAGCTGTTTTTTCTTGCATTCAATATAAAGCACTACTCCTTCTTTGCCCATGAGAAAAATATACTCCAAATGAACGCCAAACTATGGATTTTTAAACCAAGCCAGACAAAATTTCGTTTGTCTCATTTTCGTCTTCAACGGTGCGCTTTCAGTGACTATTACTCAGACTAAGGGAAACGGATTAGGCTCAAAAACCACTCTTGTAAAACCGAGACATTTAATTGTTGAGCATGCATATATTTGGCCCTGAGCATATCTTTCGCGATTTCAGCCGCCACGCCATCTGGCAATATGTCAAATCTCTTCAAACTCAACATTCCAGACCACAAATGTTTGGTGTAATTAACTTTTGTGATTCGATAAAATGTGCTATTTACGTGTGCTCCCATAAACAATGCGGTGAGTTATAAGCAATTGGAGTATTGCCAAGTCGCACCGCGACTAAAATCGCGTGAGGTATGCCCGCTGCCTTTGCCGCCATTCCTAGCGATATCGCCGATTCAGCGTCCACCGTAACCGAATTTGCTATGAACAAAGGTTTGGATAACGACAACTCTTGTAAAAGTAACGATTAAGGACGAGCTT